CTTGCCTCAAGCACAGAAGCATTTGGGAGAGACAGCAGCTGTCAATGCAAGTAGCTGCAGAAATTGTGTTACGTTGTGAGGGATCATAACATCTTTATTAGAAATAAGTACTCTGTTTCACACAACTTAATAATTTGAGGTGCAGAACACTATTCTGGCTACATATTTGTCTTACTCAAGAAGTAATCAGCAATGTACACAAGAACACAGAATTCGACAGAATATTGAATGGAAATCCTTATTAAAAGCTCAGCAAAAGAAGTTGCCAAGAAAATATCCTAGATTTGCAGAACTATCATGCCAGCAAAAATCACTAATACAACTGATCAGAAGAAGATAAAAACCCAACCTACCCATATTATTAAAATTTATTTAGTGTGGTTAAGTACCCTTTCAAACCCTTCAAGTGACATAACCTCTTAAACTATTTCAGATGCTTAGGGCAGCCCAGCTGTTTACAGAGCTTTTCATGCAGCCAATAGATAAGCATGCAGCAATCTTGACAATACAAGCTACTTAGGTGCCCTCTTTTTTATGCTGTTTAGGTGGCATAAAATACACATTTAGTGACTGCAGGTGAGCACCAAGATGAACACAGAAACACATTCAACTGAAATATCCTCACCAAGGAACTCAGAGCTAAATATGTAGAAGCATACTTCTAGGTCCCTTATTGTGATCTAAAGAGTAATTTTTCAGCAGATGTGATTGGAACTAGAAGTAAAATACACTTTTCTGACCCTGAAAAACTGTTTTTCCTTCTATCCTTCTCCAGACTTAAGGAAGACCTGGAGACCCTCTTCTCTCCCTAAACCTCACTCAATTCTGAACAAAGTTGTTGAGCATAGAGCAAGCTGCAATTCCACTGTGTCTCAAGTATGTACTTAATAAGAATACAAAGCCATCTTTGAGGGAGTGGATGCCCATGGAGCAGGAGATAAATACACTCTAGAATGAGTTTCTTTCATCTTCTCTCTGAAGGAGGAAGCAATAAGATCTTCTCTCTGAAGAAGGAAACAATTAAGAACTTCCACTTGCTTTGTCCACTAGCACACCTTTTGCCTGCCACCCTTCTTTTTCATAAACATACATCTCCCTTCTATCCAAATCTATCTTCCCTTCTGTCCAAATGTTCCCCAGGACAATCCCAGAAGCTCCAATTAATTTGACAATTCATTTTCTTGCACGGTACATTTTTATCTGGATACTCCAGTGACCCAGTTAAGAAAAATGACTGCGTTGGCCTACTCCTGAATTCAGAGGTGCAGTCACTGATTCAGTCACCCACAAAGCAGAGAGGGAAGTGCCTTTGCATACCCTCCACATACTCGCCGTTTTTAATCAGTGAAAAACACAAGATGCAAACCTAGCACATTCCTGTTTTCTTCCATTGTAATGGTGAGGGAATCTGAAAAGAGCAGATGGAAAGAAGCAGGCACAAAAGGCTACCTTTGCTCATCACCACTACTGGCTCGCGATATTGTCCACAAGGAAGACTCAACATGAAGGGATACTAAAGATTACTCACAGCCACCATTGTGGCCTTTCGCCTCTGCACATATTAAATTCTCCAACATCATTTAGAAAAAACTACTTAAAATCCTCCTAACATAATCAGCACAACAAATAAAACAACAAGCACTGTAGACTTTCTCCTCGGGGATAGTAAAAGCAATCTAACTCCCTCACAGACCATATCATGCTCTGTATAAACAATAATAAAACTAGCATAATTCTGTTAGCTGCATTGGAGTTATTCCAACAATACACTAATCAAAATGAGATCACAAGTTAACTCAATATATACAAATAGTGACAGCTGCTGGTTTCTATAGCAAAATATAGTAAATAATTATGATCAGAAATATAAGCAAAAGCAACACCTATGTATAATTCCATTACATGCTTTCATGGAAACTACAGGTTTGTAATTCTCATAACTCAACTCAACTGAATGAATTACATCCAAGCAGCAAAGCCAACAAAAAAATACTGTCTCAAAATCAATCATAGAAGCAACAGAAATTCCTACCCAGTTTTTAAAAATTAAAGCATCCTTGATTTTAAAGTTTTTAAACAGTTTTAAAAACCAGTTTTAAAAAAAGCCCCTGGTTTAAAATACCTTCAATATAATTAAGAATCATATTAATACTAATATTAAGAAATATGATTTTCCTATCAGCAGTGCATATAAACTCTTATTTAAGTCACCAACAGCTCATTTTCCTTCCATTAAGGTGCTTTAAGTAGGATCTCAGTCTTTTCTTACAGAAAATTCAAGCAAGACTATCTAATCCATCAGCAATGTCCTCAAGATGGCCTCATATATGCAATAAATTAAACACTCTCAAATATTTTATTTTTTCAAAGTGTCAAAGACTCACTACATCCCAATCATATTTCCCAGATGGTGTCATGAACCTCTTAACACTTCATTTCCATCATGTTCCATGTTTTGAGAAACCTGTTTTCAATCTTTCAAACACAAACAGGGCCTCCACCCTCTGTTCCCTGATGTTAGATTCAGCAGTCCCCAGCCAACAAATTCTTTGTGTTCTTTTAAGGATGAATAAATTCACCTCCTTCCTCATCAATCACGAAGAAACCTTCAATGACAGATTCATGTTCTTCAAACTCTCTGTAATTGTACTATTTATGCCTTCTATGAAGAAATGGAGGATATGCATTCATCAGAAAGAAGTAGCTCCAAGCCAGGCAAGGAGAAGCATCTGCAAAGCTGACTTGACCCTAATCATGCTCCCAGTGTACTGGAGCTGTGACCTAGAGTTACTGCTGCTTTAAGATTTCATCTAGAGACTTGCTAATTCTCAGCTCTGCTTGCTTAAAATTAAGAGCTGTAAAGGCATCTAATTCAGTTCTGAGAATCTGGCTCAGTGTCTCTATGTAGAAAAACACAAAATGCATTGATCTGAGTTGAAACTCTCTAAAATGAAATTCCATCTTTATACCTCCTTTGTCTTGCATCCAGTCCTTTCATTTTAACAAAACATTCCTGTTGAACAGTGTTTTTGTTCTTCATGACTTTGTCTCCCTGTTTTTGCTGCCTCGAGATCCACACTGTACTTAATTTCAATGATTTTATGTTCTGCTTATAAATTTCAGACAATTTTATCTCTAGTGAAAAAATAAGTCATTCACTAATCAAAGCTCTGTTTCTCACTTCGCATAAGAAATCTAGGACTAGACAGACCACCCAAGTCTCCAAACCAAGTGTTCAGCATGCACAACTATCCATACATATTGACATCAGCAGAAGAATGCTTCACAGAATATCCATTCCCCATAGCCCTATCTAAAAATCACAAAACATATTTAGCAGCCCATAGTAAGCTCCAGAATTTGCCATAATTATGATGTGTGATATTTGAATGGGAAATTCAAAATTTTATCTTTCTTGTGTATTAATGCCAGAACTTAGAATTCCAATGTCTATCCCAAAAACATTTCAGTATTTGTCCCACAGTGCTTGTGTAACAAAATTCATGAAGAATCAGTGGAGCTGGCTGGACTGAAAACCATGTTTTTGAAATCAACATTCTCCCAGCTGACCAGAAGTCTGCTAAACCAGATCCTTCTTCCTCATCCCTCTTTCTCACACTCCTGGCTGTACAATGGCAGTTTTTGTGACAAGCTCTTTTTCAACACCTCTGTCTGGGATTCTAGTGATTCTGGAGATTGAGAGCTGTGAGCCTGAAGAGCCCCAGCAAGAGTCAGAAAACAAAGTGACTCACCACTTGCCATCTGTAGATATTTAAGATGATAACCTGCATTATTATGGTGAACTCTGCTCAGTATTTTCAAAAAATGCTAGAGTGGTCCAGTTCCAGAAGATGTTGAGTTCTGGATTCCAAGATGGCAAGCACATTTGCCCTACTGCCCCGATGTAATGCCTCAGCTCCACTTTTTACATTAAAATTCCTAGTGACATGTAACAAGAATTTCCCTTTTCACTAGGCAGGTTCCTGGACCATTCATCTAAGCTGCCAGAAGCACACTCTACAGGTGCTTCATTCCAGTCTGGGATTTAATTTTGTGCATTTAAAATTTAACACCTGCATCCCAATCTACAGAACTATGTATCTTGCTGGATTTATCTCTTCCATTTTTTGGTGGGAGCTGGAATATGAAGTGTAAGAAACAAAGGAAACTGGGAGGTAGTTTTACCATCATTTGCTCAGAGTTATAGGGCTCCATTCCTCCTTCTGTCACAGACTTGCTACCTCAGGTGATATCAAAGTCATCTCCTCAAATAACTGTATTCCTAATCTGCATCCTGGGAATATCACTGAAAGAAATGCTGGGCATTCACTGCTACATTTAAACTCGAGCATTTTACATATTTGAAACATGTACATTGCCTAATGCGAACAGCTGCCCCTTCTGCAATCTCCAAAATAGCTACTGTTCAGTGTTTCCAGTCTGTAGCCTTGTAGCTTACTGACTTATAATTACCACTGTTAGCCCCTGCCTACAGAGACAGAATACAGTCAGCCCCCATCTCAAACGGGGTTCAGTTAATTACACATTCATTACATGGGGTTTGACTTTTCAGGGTTTTGCATTAATAAATAACACCCTCAGAGCTGAACAGTGTGACACAAACAATGCACAGAATCAAACTGCAGCTTTGAAGGAGAAAACAGAATATTTAAGACCCGCATATAAAGTTAGCAGCATTCACCACATAGCTCAGAAAAAAGATATTACTAACTTCATGATCAAATAATTAAAGACTGCACTTTACTGCACATGTACCAGTATGGGAAATTCAGTCTGCATGAGTAACCATCCATCTGGTATTTGATGTTGCTTTCATATAAATAAAGGATCACTTAACTTAGTTTTTATGTACATTACACATACAAAAGAAAAATCAACAGTGCTGACTGAAGCAGGAATGGCTGCTAACTTGTAAGAAAATGTGTAATTTCTATACTACAATTATGTAACTATCACATGCAAAAGAAATCCAAACTCACATCTCTCATCATTTTCACTGCTTCCCTGGTCCTTCCCAGTTTTCTTGCACACATTGCCAGCCTTCTTTTAATATAGACTAACACATTGGTGTCCCTTCCTGTGTAAGAGGAAAAAGAAACAGCATTAAGATAAAACAAAGGTTCATTTAGTATTCCAACACAAAAGGAAACACAGTTTTTTTTCCAGTATTTTCTTATTCACTACCATCAGTGGTTTCACAAGGATTTTAATAAAACGCTACCAAAATCTGAAGGGTTAGATGTGGCATAATAGAACTGAAATCAGTAGAAATAATCAAGACATACAGTGGTATAAATAAGTACTGTTGGGTTGGCCTTGCACTGGTGAAATATAAGCAGATCTGAAGGTACAGTTATGTACATGTTTGTCAACAAGAAGTGTTAAAGCAAATCCTCATCCTCCTAGCAATCTTTTTCTTAATGATTAGACAAAAAGTATACTCTGAACTTTTGGTTTACAGCCTTAATTCATTACCCAATTACCACCTTCAAATTCCTCACACCACTAATTACGGATGGCAAATTAACGTATTACTTTAGATATGATAGTCCTGTGTGCCAGAAGATTCCCTAACAGTGAAGATGACAGAAACTAAACAGCAGTTATAATTATTCTCTTGGAGAATTCTTACTCCTTTCACTTCTCATTCACTTTGAATGTGAACTCTTAAAATGCTTCTGGACCAACAGAAAATGACTGGACAGATAATAATCTATAAAATTACTGAATCATGAAAATGTAATACACCTGCTACAAATTATCTTTGTGTATAGCATGTGCTCTGTTAAGATTTTAGCCTATTCCTAACATTTTCAACCCTTTCATAATAAGAACAAGATGTGTGCTGAAAATATTCCAAATACCTACAAATCGTATTAAAGCAGTGATTAAAATTTTAAAATAGATTAAGCAGCATGTCGAAAGAACTTACTTTAGAGGAAAAAATAAATAAGGTGAGAAAAATTTCTTTAGCAGTATTCTGTATTTCCTAATGCCTTATCTCTTTATTGATTCCTATATATTTAATACACAATTTATTACTTACATCTGTTTCAACATGTTTATGTAATGTACTATGAGGTATACATTTCAGGTTAAGCGTCTTCTCAGGATTTTGAACAGGAATGGTCAAAAGGCATCTACTTACTATGAAATTGAGATAATTTTTCAGACCAAAATTCTCTGAGGTTACTAATGACTGGGGATGCCTAATATGAAGAACCATAAAAATAAAATTGCCCTTGCTTTATATAAACTATCACCTTTTGCAAGAGGGCAACCTGGGTACTCAAAGTCATAATTTACTTCTTATGGTTTAACAAAATATTTTATGAAGGAGGTGGAACACATGAATAAACAAAAACGTAGAATATGTTGTTGTTCAAGAGATTATAGTGTATTTCACCTTTAAAAGATTAAATGCCCACTTCTTCATCCCAGAATTAACTCTGAAGACCAGAAATGGAATGCAGGACTTCTCAGAACCATAGAATTGCAACACATGTCCCTCCTCTCCACCTTTGTAAACCATGCAGAAGTGCAGCATATAATCAAAAGAATTCTGTATGAAGCCCCAGTGTCCAAGGCAGCATCTGAGGCTGGAGATTCTCTAATTTCTGTGGGTGCACACTGACATTTTCAAGGGGAGACCGAGTTGTACAGAACAGTGGGATGATCAAGCCCCTCCTGAAGACACGGTCAGAGCTGGCAGTCACTTCTCAGCCTCCCTGCTCCGTGACAATGCACTCAGTCTTGTGATTCAGTGGTTACTTCCTCTGCTGCAGTACTTAAGGTTCAGGCTGTCAAATCTGATGATGACAGTAGCCAGCTAGCATACACAAGTTACAGAAATACCATACATGTATCTGCCTGCACAAACCTTCCCAGGTTACCTTGGACAAAAACATTACGACAGTGCTTACTAACCATTTATTGTGTACTTTTCATAGAATGTTGCACTCAGGATGGATTGAGTGCACAGACTCAGGTTTCACAGACAACCATAAGCCTGCTAGAGCCCAAAACTTGCTTCAAGGGCTCAGCTGCTCTCTATTTTTACTTTCACCAATAATGGACAAATCATCCTAAATACGATTTTACAACCAACAAATATTTAAAATATTACCTCCAAGATTTATGAAACCTTGGGTTTTCAGGTAGAGACTTGCATACACTTTTGAAACCAGGATCACAGAAGATTTTACTATGTACATTATGGAGGATAGCCAGAGGCTGTGAAATCAGGTCCTGAGAAACCTGAAGATGCCCAAAAGTATGCTGGTGCTTGTATTTATACAATCAACTTGTGTTATTTTGCCTAAGGTATACATTGCAGTCTAGAAATAACCTTGACTGTTTGCTTTATTATCTTTTTGGTCATTTACTGTCAGTGAATCTATTTTCTTAGATTTAAGGAATATTTAATAAATAGCACAGCAGATAAACCTGCTTATTAAAAAATTTTTAAAAAGCAACAAAAATCTAGACTTTCAACTAAAGCACTTTATTATTCCAGTTTTAAAATTGTATGTTTTTGTGACCTTTCTTAATAAATGCAACTAACTTCAAATGTCCCACTGGCTAATAGGTCTCATTAACTTTTACACAGAACAACACAGTGTAAGCATTTACCCCCAGAGCTGATGGAAAAAAGCAGGCAAAGCATCACTTCTCTTCCGTTTCCACCATTCTACAGTGCCTTTTCACAACAGGAGCCTGGGTTTGCTAAAATGGCTAAAGGCAACTTCCTTAAAGGGTGTTCAGCTTTTTCAGAATGTCATATCTCTTTGTCTCTGATACCTTTTCTTTTCTGTTAAGTACATACTTAAGCATTTTATGCCATGACAAAATAAAGGCACATCTGTAATCTGAGCACTGACAGCTCAGAAAACCGAATCAAGCAAAAACACTGAAACAGAATAGTCTGGCTCTAGGACCACATTCCAGACAATGTCAAACACTGAGCACACAGTCCTTAGGGGGAAAACAAAAAAACCCAAAACCCCAAATCCAAAGAACTCTTTGGAAATTCTCTCCCTCCCAAAAAACTTACTGTGTTGGGCTTCATATTGGGCACCATGGTGCTGTAGCTGCTGACTGCGCCTGTAACAGCCCTCTCCAGCTTTCAGAGCCTGCTTGAACAGCTTCTCTGCTTCTACAATTGTTGTTGCTTCCTCTTCGGCTAAGAGAATATAAGCAGTAGCACACCTGCCAAAATATCAGAGGAAAAGCCATGAGAAAGGTACATGAAGTAGAAACTGTATGAAGACATGCAGACTGGAAAGGATGTACTACATACAGAGGCAAGGAAATTTTGTCTATGTACCTTTCTGATGAACTATTCTGATGAATAAATATTCTGTCAACACCGCGACTCTCATTTTTAGGTATCACTGAGCCCTTGAGTACACCTACTGACAACTGTACCAGAAAGTAAACCGTCTCACTAACCTACATCCCTAAAACTCCTTCTTAAAATCAAAATTAGTTTTATGTACTATTGTTTTAATATAAACTGTATCCCTTACAGTAATGATATGAAAAGAATCAACAGAACTGTAACACTTACCATATAAAAAGAACATATAAATGTAGTTGTAAAGATAAAGCAACAACAGCAACAAAGAAAACCCAACACAGACCAAGCAAAAACCAAAACAGCAACATGCCCTTGCAGCAGAGCTGCACTAGAAGTGTTTCCACAGGTTGAGGGAGGTTATCCTTACCCTCTAGTCAGCCCTCATGAGGCCACATGTGGGTGTGCTGTGTCCAGTTCTGGGAACCCCAGTACAAGGGGGACATGGACATACTGCAGAGAGTCCAGTGAAGGGCCATGAGAGTGATTAGGGACTGGGGCATCTCACATGTGGGAGAAGGCTCAGTCTGGAGAAGAAAAGGCTTTGGGGGGAATTTGTCAGTTTGTAAATACCTGCAGTGAGGGGGCAAAGAACAAAGTGTGAGGTCCCTTTTAGTGGTTCCCAGTGAGAGGACCAGAGGCAATGGGCACAAAATGAGGTTCCCCCTGAACCTCAGAAACACTTTTTTTACTGTAAAGGTGATTGAGCACTGGTACAAGCAGTCCAAGGAAATTGTCAAGTCTCTCTCCTTGGAGACATTCAAAAGCCTGCTGGACATGTTTCTGTGCACTGCATTTTAGGTGGCCCTGTTTGAAGGGAGAGGTTGCATACTGACCTCCAGAAATCCCTGCTAACCTCAACATTCCATAATTCTGTGAAATGTGAGTAGGACAGGCTTATAGCTCGCTTTTCCTTTTTATGCTGCATGTTAAATCATTAGACAAGAAGAAAAAATTATTTCTCTTCTTCTGATGAAACACATAAAGGACTATCTGTAAACCACAAGTTTATGGAATTCTAGAAAGTAGCAATCTCAGTTCAGCAACTGAAAGGACTCCTCTTATCCATGTTAGCAACATTTATACAGTTTGCCATATCAGTAAATCATCACAGCACTGAGTTTATTGTGGGGTCTCAAAATACTACACTTCTCATTGAAAAAATAAGTAACAGACTCCAGGACCAAAAGTCACAGCAAATTACATCATGTTCTCTCATACTGTGAAATGAGTATTTCGGAATGTGTTTATGAGTCTCTTCTTCCTTGCTTCTGTTCTTGACGACTGAGAAATCCAAAAGGGAACTCTCCACCCTGTACATCCGTATTTCATATGCTCATCAGGAGGTAACTTGATTAACATTTTTCTATGCTATTCCAAAGCCTACTGACAACAATGGGAAGACTCCCATTGTCATCACTACCCTAAGGATCTTCTGTGTAGCTAGCACGACATGCAGCTATTTTCCTTCTGTTGTAGGCCTTCCTTTTACGTGCCTGTAATCCTGGTTAAAAATTACTACAGCAAACCCTCGGCCTTAAAATATCATTAGATAGATTTTTAAAAGACAGGAAATAAATGCTAATGTTTTTGTCACTCACTCATTCAATTCCAAAGCTTCATGTGCTGCAGAAATTCGGGCTTGAGGGTTTCTCTCTCTCCAGGCTTTTTGCATTACTATTCAATAAACAAAGGAGAAGAAAGAAATATCAGTTATTAAAGGATTAACAAGGAGAATCTACTGCACTATAACAAAAAAAATTATTGATCTCAGCCTAACTCATGACAGAGGATTTCATATAGCTCAGTCATCATTCAAAAAGACACATAACAAACAGGAGCTTTTGTCCCAAATACTCAGTGTCTTTTCTTCTTTCATTTAATTAAACTTTTTTTCTGAGAGAAAGTCTGGCTGAGAAATCAGGCTGTCTGGGCTGCCAAGTATAGAGGTGACAAGCAGCTACTTCCTCTTGGTGCAGCTGTAGAATCTATTCCACATGGGGAACAAAATAGTAAGGGGATAGTCGGGGTTATTATTCTAGTTCCTCATCGAGCTGTTGCTTTGTGTGAATAAAGCTAAACAGAAACAACTTCCAGGCTAATATTACTTCATAACTACACCACTGAGTTCAGAAAATAGGATTCATGTTAATCATGTGTCAAAAAAACCACAATATGCTCTCCTATGTAATTATGACTTCAGAATGGAGCACCCAACTGTTAGTATCTCTTCCTTCCCAAGAGACAAAGATTTATCTCTTCAGAGGCAAATAGGCAAATTCTAATAACGGAAATAACTGTTGTATATTTTTAGTAGAATAAAAGTCTATATAGGGACTTCACAGTACAGGCTTAGCACAACTAAACCTGCTTATAGAAACGTACAGTTGTGCTGTAAATGTGCTATTCCCATTTTTTACAAACCTAACTACATCAGGGAATGAAACACAGGTCTCAAATTTTACAATAGCTCTGTCTCTTTTGTCCGTATAGACTAAATGGAACCTGGATAATGTAATTCAGCCTACTACATTGCAACTAGAAGCAAACTAAGTTATGTATGTTTGAAGCCACTGCAAGAAAGAGGAAGAAAGGAACAAGCCTTTGCACTTTTAAATGGTACTTGAATGACTCCAGCAACACAGCTAAACAACACAGCAACACCAATTAGATTGTTTACCTATACAGACACTTGTTCAGATCTAGAATTCTACAAATTCAACAGCTTCTCAGTATGATCAAACTTTTGCCTTATCTACATGAAAGAACTGATGTCCCACTGCATTTTCCTTGGACCAGTTTAAATCAGCCATTAATCTATTATTAATCCCATTGTCCACAAGGTCTCTTACTAGCATCTGCAGGCCGCAAATGATCTGTGTCACATGTAAAGAATGTCTGATGGTCCTGTGCTGAAAGATTCATATCGTAGTAAGTCAAAGGTTCTCTTCCTGTTACCCATGTATACCTGCAAACATGCCAACAAGGAGACATTTTGGTTAGAGAAGTCACACATGGGAAAACTAATCCGGAAAAGAATCCCAGATCTTTGAGATAGGCACAGCCAAATAAGTTAATCTGGCCAATCTTCTAATCAATATACATTGCATTTCACCATTTCATGTGATGAAGCAATGGTAGCTGAGCCTAAGCTAATGAAAATTTACACACTGGAACTTGTTAACACATATATTCAAACATTAGGCCTAAATGAAACCTATATGGAATTCATTAGGTATTTTGCTATAATGGATTTGAACAGAAATGCTGCATTAGCACCAGGTACAACATACTTAGGTTCCAGCATATTTTTTTATAAGGTTGCCAAAAATTGGAGAAATAGCAAATATTAGAGAAATAAGAATTTGCATCAGCATGATTTTAAATTCCTTTCAATTCAGGAACATTTTACGAATTACAGAAAAACCTGACTTGAGTGCATTTATCCACAGTTGATTTTGTTTTTTCATCTCTTAGGCTAGATTAATGGAAAAGTACAATTAAGCTCCTTAAGCTAGTACTATGCCTGAAAACTGTAATTTTGTAGCACCTACCGATTATATTCAGCTCCTCTGAACAGATTTAAAGGATTTCGCCAGACTTTGCATTCTGTAAGAAGCAGACACACATATAATGAATCTCTCCCAAATTACACTGGTACTTGAGGTTTACAAAAAAACATCAGTTACCATACAATGAGCCTTATCAAATGACTTATTTTTCATAGGTGCAAATGCAAAAACCCATCAAGAGTACCAAGATGAAGGTAATCAGGCTGTTCTTACTTTCTTAAATAATAATTTAATTATAAATTAGTGTCAACAAATGCAATCATTCCAGACAAATAACCACTAGCAAAGCCCCAAATGCCACATGAAAAGATAATACTGATTAGTTCCAGGATTCACATTTACCATCATGCAGTACTGAAAAGGGATCACACTGGGTTATTACACTGAAAAACAGCAACTTACCCAGTCCCTATGGACTTGTTATTTCTCCAGAAAAATATCACTGTCCAGTTAATGCTGTAAATCACAGCGAATCTCAGCTACAGTTGCCAAATTTAATTCCTCCCTAGTTTGTGAAGTAAAAATCCATGAAAACATCTGCTGATCTTACTTAAGACAGAAGCAGATGCTGAAACTGATTTGCAGAGAAAAGCTGATTGCATTCTAAAGGTTTCAGAATATTAGAAACATTTTATAAATTTCCCTTGGGGGAAAAATTGTGAATTTTTCACACTACAAGAAGTAAGAGATATGGAAATCAACAATGCAATTTAAAGCAAAAATTGAAAAAATATAATCAAATTGTACAGCCTCTGAAACAGTGAAGTCTTGATTCTGGCTTTTCCTTTAATTTAGCATCAGATTTATTCTCTTACTTTCAACAAAGACAATTCACTCCAGTGAAGGTGAGACTGGAATAAACCCCACTATTTGCACAAAGGCTCCCTGAGAGGCAGCATGTCATTCCACCTCAGGTCTGCTACTGGATGACCTTTCACATGGTGCTCTGCAAAAACTCACCAGTAGCACTCCAGCATTCACCAGGTGCTTGCTACTAAAGATACTGACCAGCATATTTCTCCCTATGAATTATTCTGACATAATTTCTAAACTGTTGAAAAAACTCAACAGTTTTCTAGTAGAATATTGACTCTGAAGGGTATCTTTATGGCAACAAACATGCCTGTTTCCTTTATGCCTGTTCTGCTAGGAAAAGAACAACTGAACAGCAAGCAAGTCAAGTCCTCCTCTTTTCTCATGGACACAGATCCCACATCTGTATGGGGCTCCAGTAGCATGGACAGAAAGCATTTTACAGAAATTATTCACAGTAACAGGACACCCTCAGCAACACAGAAATTAGTCAAGTGGAATAGGAGGTGGGCCCTCAGTTTGCTGCCTACCAGCAAGTGCATGGATCAGACACAGGAACAGGCAGACTTGAGGGAAGAGTGTATCTTTGAAGTACCCATTTCAGCAGGCAGCTAATATTAGAAAGTTCCACTGGTTTACTCAGCAGAAGTGCTTGATTGACATTCTGCCGTGCTTTGTTGTGCAGCCAGAGAGTATGGCTGTTTGACAAGCTTCAATCCCACAGTTTTTATATATGACTTTCAAACCATTGTAAATATTAAATCAACATCAGACTTCACAGTTCCAGAGGTGTAATTCAATGTCTTGACCTACTCTGTTTGCAACCAATGAGATTACATAACAACTATCTGATTGCAGTAACAAGTTTTGTTCATCTTATTTGAATTCAAGTGGTATCAATCCAAAGTATGAAGTATTTTAGCACTGTAGCAGGGAAAGGTTAAACTGAGGAACAAGAAGGGGAGATGAAGAAAGGCTTTCATCACCACCTTCATGTCCTGGGAATGTTTTGGCATCTGTGTAGCTAGTTAAACATGGTGTTCTCTTGCTCTTTTTGTCTTGGTCTCTGCTAACACCACGGTCTCAGTACATCATTCTTTTCTTACCTTTCTAAAGACAAAGGTATCTCTTGCAACATTCTACCATAGTCAAACATCTTCATAGTAACACATAGTGAGCCAAGAGAAAAAGCCATCTCCATCTTGTTGGATAGCAAAAAACTATCCCATTATTAATGCATGGTACACCAAAAAGATTGTCTTTTCTGTCACATTACAAACCAGCAACGTAACTATGTCCTAATTTTAACCTTTCAGAGACTTTTTCAATGATCACCTTTTGAGCACTGATAGCTTTCTGAAGGCACAAATAACAGGCTATCCATACAGACACACTGTCCAGAGACACTGAGATCCCAGCTCAGTGTCAATGCACTGAAAGCAAACACAGTCCTTGACTATTTCTCTATATCAAGAAAGTCAAGATGCTTGTGTGAACCTCACTAGTCAAAATACTGTGCCTTCTGCTTTAAAATGACAGGAGTTATTTCGGGCTGCTGAAGTGTGACTGACCCCACTGATGAGTACACACAGGTGGTTCGAAGCCATCCCATGCTTTCTGCCAGTTCACCCAAATCTAATACCCTGGGCCATGCAGTGCTGCTATTCACAGCCTCTCTTCAGATGAGAATGTCAACAGCTGAATTTGCTGTGCTATATGGAGGCTTCCTTAAGCAGACTAACTACTAACAAGGTTTTGTGAAGCCACCTGTATTATTTAACATATAAATTCAGAGCTAATTTTTGTTTGCCTGTTTTCTTGCACACTGAGGAGTAGAGTTAAAATTTGCCAGATACAGACATAGGGAGCTCAACTGCAGAACAATGTTTTCGTAAGCAAATTTTTTTTCTTCTCATTCACTTTTCTTCACTTGTAAATTCTAATATATTCTAAAAGCCTGCAGATTAAATCACTTTAATAGAATTCTGGTTGATTCGAGGGGCACATCCCTAATTTGTTTCCAGTATTAAGATTATGGCCTGTGAGTCAAGCTAGGACAAAAACAGATAAACTTCATTTTACACATGAGGAACACAAACACAGATGTTCCTGCCCTGACTTAAACAGTGAGTATCTTCCATTCGAGCCAAAAGTAATAGCATACCAGCATTTTCATCACTCATGGGCTAATTTTTCAATTCATCCTCCCCAGGCAGCTAAGTCATCCAATTAGGGAGACAAGTTCCTCTGTGGCTCCTTCAGTCCACAAATTACAGTGCTTGGGGGGCTGATTCATTTTAGGCAGGCTGGCTTGTCTCTCAGAGGAGCCATTGCCCAGGCAACCAAGTACCTGACTCAAAGTGCCTGAGGCTTGAATGATTTAGGGTCAGACACCTTCACTGTTGCACGGAAACTTGTAGGGGCTGTGAATGCCTGGAAGCTTGTAAAACTCAGGCCACAGATGACTGAAATCATGCCTCCTAAACTGGAGACCTTTTAAAAAAGCCTGACTATGTTAGGACCTGCCCAAAGTCACAAATGAAATCCATAGCAGACTCAGGAATGTAATAAGCCCTTAAGCTGTTAAAAGCCACTGTGCTTCCACTTACTAAGGTGAAATCCAAATGTTATTTACATACTATCTACAAAAATTAAAGTTTTTATTTTTATTTATTGTTTTTGTTATCTAAAAAACAAAGTGATGCAAAACCAGATGAACATTTCTAACTTCTTTATCTGATTACTTTTTTAACAACTTTGTTATTACTTAAAATTATTTCACCAAAAATACTGCCACCTTTTGAATCACAGAATCAGACAATTGGTTAAGTTGGAAGGGACCACACTGGCTCACCTCATCCCACCTCCCTGCTCAAACAGGGTTATCTCAGAGCACATGGCACAGGATTGCATTCAGACGGTGCTAGAATATCTCCAGGGAGGGAGACTCTGGGCAACCTGTTCCAGTGCATGGTCACCTGCACAGTACAGAAGTTCTTCATCATATTCAGGTGGAACTTCCTGTGCGTCAGCTTCTGCCCACTGCCCTTTTTCTTACTGCTCTGCACCACCGAGCTCCATCCCTTTGACGCCCTCTCTTCACACATACATTGATGAGGGCCCATAACAGTTGTCTCTTCTGGAGGCTGAAGGGGTCCAGCTCCCTCAGCCTTTCCTCATAAGAGATGCTCCAGCCCCTAAATCACCTTTGCAACCTCTCCGCTGGACAAAGGATACTGCAAAAAGGGCACGTGCAACTTCTCAGGGTTTTCACAACAAGGAGAAAAGAGACGCGTTAACCACGGAGCCTGAACACACCGAGTGAATGGGGAAGGATGCAGTCAGCAACCGGGGAGGCAGCGGAGCCCTCTCCCCGCGGAGCGGACCCGAGGCGGGCGCGGCGCCGCTCACCTGAGACGCTCTGGCGGCTCGAGTCCGCGTCCCCGCCGGCGGCGCCGGCCGCGCTGGGCGCGCTGCTGTCCACCCCGCCCAGCAGGGGGCGCAGGTGGCTCACCGAGACCTGCTCGATGAAGGAGGTGCCGTACTTGCGGAAGTACCACCACTCGAAGATCTGCAAGGCACACACGCGTCAGCGCCGCCGCCCCGCCCGGCCCCGGCCCCGCGTTCCCGCTCCCCCGCCCGGCCCCGGCCCGGTGCTCCTCCCGCTCCCCCGCCCGGCCCCGGCCCGGCGTTCCCGCTCCCCCGCCCGGCTCCAGCCCGCTCCTCCCGCTCCCCCGCCCGGCCCCGGCCCGGTGCTCCTCCCGCTCCCACCTCTCAGCGCTGCGCCGCAGCCCGACAAGCGAGCGGGCAGCTCCGGCCGCCCCGCGGCATCCCTGCTTCAGCACACGGAGCAGTTAAATGTGACCCAAGCTTAGGTGGAAAATGTCAAATCTTGTCAACGCAACGCTTTAATTTTTATTTTTTTTTTTAAGCCCAAATAACCTCTGTAACCTCAAATTAATTCAGCTGTTAGGTCTATTTCTTTAAATTTACGCCTAGGATACCCACTCCCCCGCAACCTCCCATTCGGCCCGGCATCAGGCACGCCATAGGATGCTGCAGTCAGGGGTGAATCCACCTCGCCTTGCCTCAACTCCCTCTGCAGCCCAGAACATGTGAGCAAAAGCAGGTTTGCTTGTTTCCCCAGTTAATGCTTCCAATTTAAAACGAGTTTAATTTCCAATGAGTTTAATTTTAAAAAGGAAGTTACAAATGCCAAACAAACTCCTGGAAGCTGAATCCTGTTCCTTTTAGGATTTCCCCCCCTATCTGAACTGTGTTTTATTTTGTTTGGCTGACTTAGGCTGACTCTGAATTAATTTTATTTTCAGGCATTTGGTTGAACTAGCAAATCAGAAAAAAAATATTATTTACAGAACTCTATTCGGAAAATCATTTCACAGCCTAAGAGAACAACCTGTAATTGAAATTATACACATAAACATATAGCTGTGGTATTTTCACCAAAAAATATATTACTCAGTAAGTATACACATATTTCAGGAAACCACATAAACCTGGAAATGAAGTCTATTTCATATAAATATGGAAAAGAGGCTGTAAAAACTGTAAAGAAACACATGCTTATAATAAATAGATGAGTTGCACTTGAATTATCACCGAAACATCTACATACCACAGGAAACAAAAGCAAATCTAAGGAGTTTTGAGAAATTTGGCAGGACATTGCAATACTCATTGCACTAAAAATTGGGAACGAACAGTCTCTGACCTTCCCATATTCCTAGGCAACTTCATGTGTTACACCAGTACTGAAAGTTTTGATAAAGTCTCTTCCTACTAGGCACAATCAACTAAAAGGGAAAGTATTGTGTTCCCATCCATGTCACCACCAGTGTGCTGTTGGGCAGGTTTTGGTGGGTCAGCAGGCTCTGGAAGGCCTCTTTGGGGTCTGCCTGCTCCAGAAAAGTTCAGGCCAGGCTTCACACACTTCCTCCTTCACTACTTGTTTATTTTTAAATTCTCTTGACCTCTTTATATAGTTGAAATTACTCCTGTCTCCATGAGATTGGATTGTCTGTAGACAAGACATACTTTTTAACCCACCCCCTTTTTTTTAAAGGAGGGGGGAATAAATTTCCTGACATAGAAGGAAAATGATCCTCTCCAAAAGATGCTCCAAATGCATTCTGCACTGGGACTTCCCCTGAATTCAAATGTGTTGTTAAAGCATCTAGAGGATTCATATGGAAGGACTCTATCTGCACAGGAGTGAAAGGGAATGAAGCTGGTGGATACTTAAGACAAGTTCACACAAGATTGTGTGGCAGCTCTGGAGATCACTTCCCAAAACAATCTAATGGCATTTCTGGGAGACATCAAGAAGAAAGAATAGAGCAGTCTGATGAGAGAAGACAGAAGGACTGTATGAACAAATAGCATTTGGGAACATAAAAAGATGGTCACAGAGAAACCAGAGCATTAACATATTAATATTATGAACTCTTTCCCACCCAAGTCACCAAAAACCCACCAAACCTGGACAGTTCCTCCTTACACAGAGTCTGAAGGGCATTTGTCACTGTTATGGTTCCACTGGCATGCGCCTGGAGCAGCATCCAGGTGGGAATGCCAAGTGCCAAGGACAGAATGCTGATGCAGTGTCACCTAACACTTGTTCCACATTGCTGATAGGCTTCCCCTGGCATGCATTACTGCCTCTGAATGCTGGAGATGGTGAACAGGGAATTGGCACAGATGTGCCAGCTTTGGTTTTAGCTGTTCTCATGCAGGCGTTAAAGTTTATATCTTGATTTAAGAGGGCATCAGAGGCATGTGGCTGACCATAAGAGAAAGGCTATGCCATGAGATACAGTCAAGAGATCTGCTGTGAACATCCATTTCTGTTCTGTCTTTGAAAACCTTGGAACAAATCAAGGCACAGAAGCCAGAGTTCTACCTGTCCAAAGCCTCAGAGGGAGAGTGTTAGGAATGAAGGATTATAGTCTTGCACTGAGGCAAGAGGCACTCAGTAAGAATTTCACTGTAGCCTAAATCAGGGACTCAGGTACAGCTGCCAGATTACCTGTGCAAAACTCAAAGACTGTATCTAACAAGTTTTCTCTAAGAGAGGAAATAAAAAAGGTTTTGCAAAATGTGCTAATAAATTCCTGCTCCTTATTTCAGTCATGATCAGCTTTTAGATGAGGTCAGTAAAACCCAGAGAGGGAGTGAGCAGCACAGAAGCACACTTGAGCCCACTTGTCCTGCACAAATGTATACCAGCTGGGAAGCTGTCACACTGAATTTCAATGAAACTGAGGGGACAATCACAAAGAACGTACATATATATAAATGGAGTTCTGCTACAGTTCAGCTGGGTGACAGAAACTTGCTAAAACATGTGACACAGCTGTGAGTCTGCCTCCTTAGACTTACAAATACATTAATTATTTTTTAAAATGGCATTAAAGCTCATAAACTGTTTAAGGCAGTTTTGAAAAATATTTGCTACGCTGAATGAATCCAATGCCAGGAAACACCAGACAGATCTGAATCCATACTGTCTCTTAGAAATTAAAGCCATAAATCATCATCATCATCATCACAAGCCTTTGATCAGAGTGATTTGTTCAGCATCAGGTAAAATCTGTGATTTGGTAGTTAAGTCAAAACAATAAATTCTCTTTAGAGGATTTTTGCATCTTAACATCATCTGGTTTGAAACTCTATTTCTATAAATCAAATTTGACTTCTAACTGCATCTTCCAGTTTGAAAGCCATGTGAAGTCAACAATCTTTTGACAGTTCAGCAGATGAGAGATCATCTGATAGAATAAATTACTGTAAGGATTAATTACTCATTGACAGAGATCTGGAGTAGAGAGAAAAATTATCAGAAAGGTAATTTCTGCACCACTTCTGAAAAAAAAGCCACCTAATTTCTGTCATATACATACAGTGGGATGAGAGCTCATTTTCAGAGATCTGCCCTTCACAGCAGTGGCAAACTTCTTGGGAGTCATTCTAGTTAGTGCCTGTGCTTTCAAATTGAAACAGGGTCAAACATCTCCAAACTGTCAAGGGATTTTTGGGAGCACAATGTTCCCAAGGGCCAAATTAAAACCCTGTTCTGAACATATCCAGCTTTTTGTGTTAAGAAATGCAATTTAGAATTTTTATTTTTTAATCTGGTATAGGTATTGCTTAATGTAAGAATATTTGATTTTGGAAATGTCTTCTTAATGCACTTCTTTTCCCTTGTGCAGTGAAAATGTTACAGTCATCCTCTTTCTTATCTCTGCTCTCACAAACAAACAATCCCAGATAATTTTATTTATCTCTGTAGCAACGAATCTATTCTGCATCACTTGGCTATCAGATCTGATCTTCCTGCACAGTTTTTCAGAACAGATATTCCATCATATATGCATCAATTCACAAGGGATGGTTTTGGTGGTGGTTCTTACTGGACCAAGGAGCAATGTCTGTCAGTAATTTGAATTACGCTTTTCTGTTTCTTACACCTGAGACAGGCATCCTCCCTCAGAGCACTCTATCATTCTCCCCTAGTGTATGTGTATGGAGTCTTCAACAGAAGCAGTGAAGGACTTAATTTGCCAGCAACTTCCACAGCTCAGATTTCTTTTTCAGCCTTGTAATGACTTTCAGGTCTCAGACAGGTAGATTTGGAGTATTCTTTAACCAATCTAATGGATTTAAAGGAAACTTAACTCTCTGGAGGAACAGCATAGCGCTGGATAGACTTGATTCCGTGGTTAAGCCTATTTTATAAATAAAAGGGACCACAGCATAGGTTTGGCACAAATAATCCATGCTGTTTGTTTGTTAGCACAATACCTGGCCTGTGTCAACTCTCCCAGGCAATGACTACAAATGTTCCAGGTGTATTACAGCCCAGGGGCTGTTTCCAGTAGACACTATGTAAAAGATCATCCATGTTTTGGGAAGCAAGAATGTTTATCCATGTGAGTGTGACTGTACAATGCTACTTGCTTTCCAACAAAGCAAGCTGCTGATCTGTTTTATTTAGCTGTAAGGGGCAGCCAGTGACTCCTGATCCTCCAGTCCTGCCCATCGTGGATCTAGGAAACAGCATGCCTCTGACCATGCTGAGTGTCCTTGATGACAGCCTTGAAGGATAAGCACCCCCATTCCTTCTAGACTAAATACTGCCACTCAGCATCCTCTTAGACTCTGCTCCTGGTTACTGAACCCCCATTTGTCTTATCTCAAAGAGTTAGCAAGAGAACATAACATACATGCAGTGCTAATAGGCAGCATATTCAAAATTAATAGCTATTTACTTCATCCACCTCTGGAAATACAGAAACACAAAAGAAAATAATATATTGCCTGGATTAAGTGTATTAATTCTCTCAACACTGTGTAGACCCCATCTAGTTATGATAGCATTTTCTTGTCTGTGGACTGGGTTACAGCCTGCCTTCCACTAGACCCTTCCTCTCTCATCTGCTCCTTGGCAAGGGTTTTCAGTTTCTTAGGAACTGCCTACAATGGTTCTGCCCTTCCTGACCTTCAGCCTTCTCTGAGCAGAGCAGAAACTCTCACTGGTTACCATATATTGCTTTTCAGCCCTTGAAGACTGTCCCTGCATAACTGTCAGACTTTTGCGGAGTCTGTAGCAGCACCCAAAACTCAGTCACCTTTCTGGCCCTCTGCAGCAGACTACACAAAGGTAGCAAAACAATTAGTATCTACAGAAAATGAGACAAGTCCTTCTGTGTTACTCAGGTTCTCTCTCAGACTTCCTGTACTGGTACCATTGGCTACAAAAGTCTGTGACTCTGACAGCATACTGTGTACTTGGGCAGTAGCAAACAGCCTAGCTTCTCAATGCTAGGCAGTGTCTAGACTTATGCTCTACCTCTGTAGGTAGAGCAATGAATTAGAAAGGCTGGCTTTCTAATTCTTGCATCTGAAAGACCTGGTATTTGTTCATTGCAGAATGTTTTTCATTGTGTAGCAGAAGACACTTACTACTCTCCCAAGCCTGAAGTAGTATAACGAGGAATTCTTGCAGAGATTTAAGTCTGAGGCTCACTTCTGTGCTTTGTTAGAACTGAGACTCTATCAGTTTGCAGTGCAAGTGCCTCACATGCTTGCTGAACAACTCTGGTGGTAACTGTATGTTAAATATGTGCCTTTATTTAGAAATCTCAGTGTCATTTGCATAGTTCTAGTTCACAGCATTTATTGGATGTCAAGTGTGTTTTGTGACAGTTTTATTACCCTACCTGTGGAAAACCTCAGCTTCTTAGACATTGAATACAATGCAGCTCATTGTACTCTGCAAGACAGCACACTGTATTTTACTGGATTAAAAGTAACTGTGGTGGAACCAAGTTTCCAATACAGTATTTCTAATGCAACTGTAGACTAAATTGTCTTATTTTTCATGCTTACAATGGTGCATGGATAAAGTGAATATATGCCAAATTGTTAATTTTTAACTATGTGCTGTAGTCAAGTAATTGTTAAGGAAAATGCTTGAGATAGGAAAGTATTTCCTGCACAGTTCTGACCTATAAGAAAAAAGGTCTGAAATCCTTGCTTCAATTAAGTCACATTGCCTGCAGCAAGGCCAGAATTTTGCCTAAAGAATTAAAGCAAAGTATAAGACAAAATAAGAGAGGAATGTAGTGTGTTGCAAAGGAGTAATGTAGTATTCAGTTGCCCAAAGCTGAACTTTGATGTCATTGTTTCATGACCCAAACATCAGTTAGGAAAAGTAATGACTTTCTCATCAGTTACCACACTTACGAAATTATGGAATTTTCCATTACTTCATAACCTGCGGTGCTGTGATTTCTCCTTCTGATTAGGAACTGGAGCCAACTGATAATGGAAAGAAATCTGCCAGCCCATATGGTGGAAAATTCCAAGCAAAAACAGTACATCTAGCCTAAAAAGTACCCCAGTGATGTAGATTTGAGAAGAGAATGTTTATTTTATATAAGAACCTCACTTTATACCATTAACAGGACTAAGAATCCTTTAGAACTGATGATGCTGTACAGTCTGATGTGTGTGGCAATGCAAGCAATTCACCATGTTACTGGTCATGGTAAACAGCATGTAAAACTGGGCCACTGGTGCACTGGTGAACAGCAAGATTAAGAATTATTTAATCTGAAGCACACTTGAGCTAATGACAAGCTAGCACTACCTTGCTAGAACTTAATCAGCTGTCTTTTCTGATGCGTGATCTATTCAACTTGCAGTTTTTTCTTTCCATGATCATATCTGCTTTGTTCTTTTGCCATTATCAAATTTGCTATTATCAAAGAAAACATGTTCCTCTCAGCACAGACAGTGGTTCCTACAATCCAGGGTTCCTGGCTGTTACCTGTCTGGCCTATATACGTTTCTCACATTTAGGAACGTGCAATATGAACAGCAAAACAACAACTGATAGCAGCAGTGAAAATACAAAAAGCAAAAAAAAAGGCTTTCAGTCTGATTTCTGTGTCTACACCTCCATCACCTCACTGTTTCTTCAATTTGCTCATAATGGACTTTCTCATGCAATACTAAGTGACTGCTTTTGATTAAGGCTCAATTTGATTTCTTCATGAAAGGCTTCTATTGGTGTCCTTTTGCTCCTTCTCCATATCATAGTCTTGAGTACTTCCTGCCACTTCTTGTACTTCCCATCAAAGTACAGCACTTAGAAATTTCTTACTCACAAGTTGCCTGCTGAGCTCATTCCTCAGAAATTGCCTTCATGACAATAGTATAAAATGTACCTACATTTGCAATGCTGAATTTAATTCTACATAAATTAGTCACTCTTCAAAGTTTTTATTCCTGTTTGATTCTGTAATAAAGTCTTTGTCTTGGCACCTCCTCCTTCTGTCTTCACGCTGTAGCAACAAATATGGAACTGTGTCTATGAAATCCATTTTATTTCTTCCAGTCCTTCTCATCTTGGTAGTGGTGCTGAACATTTTCTTCTTTCTGAGTGACAGTGTTGCGTGTAATATTATTTTCCTCCTGTGCATTTGAGTGAGTTCTGCTGAACTGAATCCAAGTCTTACAGGTCTGGCTCTTGCTCACATTCTGAAAGTTCTGTTGATCTCTCTGGAGCTCCGTCGAGTGCCTTGGGGCTCAATCCATACAAGACTGATGAATGCCCAAGGTGCTAACATTAGGTAATTGCCTTCTGCTATGAGGAAATTCAAAGCAAGGCACAGCAGCAGTGCACCTGCTGCTTTACCTGAAATCATCTAAGTGATGAGAGTCTCACAGGCATTAAGTAGCCAAGGATGCCATTTGTTTATCTACATTGGCTACAGGCAATGTGGAAGTGAGAGGTGCAGATTTCCCAAAGTAAGTCAATAGTATTCACTTAGGATCCTAGATGCTTTCAGGTTTCTCTGAGATTGGTAGAGTTGAGGTGATGTGAGCCAGCCTCTAGCCATGTTTCTCTCTTGCTCCTCTTTCCACTTATCACTACAATAGCTTACACATGGTCTCATTGGTCCCCCAGTTACATGCCTAGTTTGGTGTGGTGAGGAAGGGTCTACAGCTTGTATCCAGCAGATTTTAAAAGCATACAACTTGAACAAACAGGATTAAAACAAAGGCAACCATTCCCTGAGGAATGGAAGTGGAGAGGGAAGGGCTTCTTCTGGCTATCTAGAGGCAGGTCACGTGGGAATAGTTCAAAGCTGTGACAGGAGGATAAGACTGAACATTAGAAAGAATATCTTCACTGAGAAAGTGGTCAAACACAGGAACAGGATTCCTTGAGAGGTGGTGGATGCCCCAAGCCTGTCAGTGCTTAAGAGGCATTTGAAAAATGCCCTCAATAATATGTTTAAACTTTTGGTCAGCCCTGAAGTCATCAGGCCTCTGGACTAGAGGATCATTCTGATCTGTTCTGTGTTATGCTATACTATTAATTTGTGTAAGCAATAAGACAACTCTCAGTGGTGAGGTAACAAGAACAGACCACATACAATGAAATATATGTACACCCTATTAATTCCTATTATTTTTAATCTCCATTTGTTTCTATGAAGGTATTTAATAAAATTCAGAGCAAATGCTCTGCTTGGGACTCCTGCATTGTGATAGTATTATGATTCTCTCCACTGCATCAATTTGCATAAAGAAGCCCTCAAGAATTACATATTGAAGGAGGGTTTTTAAAATGGTTTAAAAATACAGACATTTAAGCAAATAGGCAGCTATGTACTGGGAAAGACTCTAGAAGTGAAGATCTGAAACAATTATCCCTTTGAATTCTGGCACCAGAATTGGTGTTTCTCTAGTAAATCCTGCTGTATCTCTCTGAAAGGACCATGCTAAGCTAAGATAGTTGGTACCTTTCCTCCTCTTCCTTTTATTGGCCTTCTTCATTTCAGTAGTACTTGTCAAGGAAAGCATTTAATATGTAAACACTCATTAAGAATTACTGTAGGGTTGTTAGTGAGTCACACTGTTCTTCAAGACTTTTTTTATCTTCAAAGATAGAGCACTGAAACATTTTTTTTTCTTTTTCATTGCCACAGAAAGAGACATAAAGACAAATTTTATGTGTTGTAAAGCTGCAAGTATACAGAAGGAAAAAAGATACCTATTAATCTGCATGAAGCCTGAAATACAATTCTGGATATCAAAATCAAATTCTAAAGTGATATTAATAAATGTAGTACTTACCAAAATAAGTCCTGAGATTAATGAGGATGTGCCTGTCAGGGCAACGTAGAACTTGGGGGTTAATGTGTTCAAAAACATACTCACTGAAAAAGAAAAGAGAGAAAACCATGAGTACAAGAGCAGGACATGTTTTCCACATGTCTCTTTCTCCTCCCAACTGCAGGTAAGTTATTACCTTAGCTTTGATAAAAAAGACAGTTAAAATAACATCCTGTTAATCTGCCTAACATGAGATAATGAGCACATGCAGAATTTTGTTTTCACAACAAAGCCAGTCACAAGGCATTGGAAAACAGCTGCACACGTCTGGGATGTTCCTGTTTCAGTCAATGCTCCACTGACAGAGTTTAGGATTCACCATGATATACAGAAAACATTTTATTATATGCCTTTGCTACTTCACTGCAGTTAGAAATCTTGGAAGTCTGTCTCAATGTCCTCCATTCAAAATTGTCACAACATCCTGTAGATCTTGATGAAGCTTTTTAAGCTTTTTACTTCTCACTACCTTGGTTCCTCACTTACAAAGTAGAAGATAATGCAATTTCCTAATCCATTCCATTGCTGTTAAATTGGTGAACAACTCAGTATGACAACAGTGAATAAGTGATTAAAAAAGATCTAACTAGCTTTCTTAGTAAGGGGTGAAAATCATGATAGTTGTCCAGAGTATCTGGAATCTAAGGTAGAAGTGAGGTCAGATGAGCAATTCCATCTATATGGGTTTCTGGAAATCCAAAGGGCTTTTCTACTCATATCCCATCTTGAAAGCTCCTTAGAAAATCACCAGGTAGTCATCCTCATCCCTCACAGAAAATCCCTATGTCTAGCATTAAGAGTACCTAGAAAACATTCTAGGTTTTTGATGACTGTACAGAAGCTACGACAGAGAACTGGAGTTCGGCTAAATTCTAGATGTTTAAAGAAAATGCAACTTTCCACTACTTCCATCTTCGACAAATGAAAACATTCCTTATTAAACCACGTAAAGGGTTAGAATGTTTTCTGTAAACAACCCTACTGGTCTCATCCTTAACCGCTGCCAAAGAATTCCTCATGTATATATACATTTATGTATATACACACACATATATATATTTGTATATGTACATGTATCCAGGACTGGGGAGGGAACTGACAATAGTTTAGCAGGTAAATTTAGAAGGCTTGTAGCAAAGTACTAGTCATTAAAAAACTTTGATAAAAGATGTGGATGTGTAGGTGTGAGGCCCTCAGTTCATTTTGCTCTCTTTTGAAATAACACCTAGCAGAAATTAAATAATATGAAGTCAAAAAATTAAGAGGAGACAACAACAGCAGAATACAAACCATCAAACATATGATTCACTTTCCATGACCAGTAAAAAAAAAAAACAACCTGTTTTCCAGAAATGCATTTCTAAAAGATTAAAGCCCAATTCAGCTGTTTTGTTTGGGTTTTGGCTGCTTATTTTCTGTGTTGTTTATTTTTCTTGAAGAAGACGTAAAGTGTTAAAATGGAAATGTCCTTTCCTAGTCCACTGGAGTGGCATTATGCACCAAGCTGATATAGTAAAGAATAAATCTGGTGGGTTTTAATGCCATTGTACGTTTTCTTTCCCAAATGCACTGAATGCCAGATTCTCAGCTAGTGTAAATCAGCATCACATCCTTTAAACTGCTGTGCACAACACAGCTACACTGTTTCAATCCTTCCTCCTCTCCTCTTGGTTCCCATCTAATAAAAGCAGACTTTGAAATAGTGATCCCTGCTTTCTTCAGCCACAGCACCTACTAAGTAGGAAGAGGAATGGAGACACTGAAATAACTTTGGCTTCACCAACTACCCGGAGTATTTTAGAAGAAACATTCCTCATTTTGGAATGCAAATGTAAGCCAGAGACATACTCAAACTATGTCACTGGGGAAATTTCAGACTGTCAGTGAAACTACTTCCTTTGCTTAGGTCAGCATATGCCTGAGAGAGAATACGCTATGATGGGATATGGATGCCTGTGTTCTACCTTGTAACATAGTGCTACTGCCGTGCCAACATAACATGAAAAGCCAGGCAGCAAGAGACTTTACAGGGGATCTTTCTCTTCCACTCTTGCACCACAACTTCACAGCTTATGGAATATTGGATTTTTTTTCTATTAAAATTTCCCTTACACCCTGGGAGTAATTTGATTTCCAAAGCTGTGAGCCATCTGAGTCTACTGTGAAGATTCCACATGAGCATATCCATTGAATAATATATAAAAATAAAAATGATAAAGATATAGTCTATTTGCTTTAAATATTATTACTGACTTCCATCCATAACAATTGTTTTGGGAAATACAGGCCCACTTGGAAGAGCCCTCTCAACAAATTAGCTGTATGACGCTCATTAGTGGTGTAGACTGAATAAGGCTCAAAGGAATTGCTACTAGCTTTCCTCTGTCACCACTCCTTTACAAGCAATGTATACTGGTTTATAGAGAAACTCTAGGATGTGAAAGGAGATTGAATTTTATTTATCTGTAATTTTCACAAGTGTTACTGCTTTCTTCTTTGCCTGCACGTATACTAGTGCTCCTTTATCCTCCTTACTACAGGCTGCTGCAATTCTTCACTTTTACAGCTTAGTCATAGAACTGGCAAGGTGAACAGATATGATGCTGGATGTTTTTAGATTTTGTAGGCCAGACTCCCAGATAACTAAAGAAACTCAGTAGATTTGATACACATGCACTCAACGACCAGACCTGTTTGCCTGGACTGTACCTCTCTAATACTTTGGCCATTCTTTTTCCCACTCATTAAATATAAGAATCTTTTATTTAATTATGAAAAGTATCATCTTTAGCCAATTATTAGCTACTCTCCCGGTTCCTTTGTCTCCATAAATATTATTAACCAAAGGAAACACTTTCTAATGAGAAACATATCTCCAAAACAGTAAAACTAAGCAGGTGTCTCCAACTATTTTTATTCTAGAGTCAATGAGAATTCAATAATTGTTTCAGCAGAAACTACATCAAGGCCTAGTTCTCATAATAATTAATCTCAAGAGTAAAAATCAATCCACTTGTACATTGTGAAATATATCATTATCCAAAAGGGAGCATTTCTTTACAGTCAGCATTCTAACAGTGAAAAACTCGCTATCATATCCAACATCTCCATCCCTCAGTGGAATCAGGGTTCTTGAGTGTGTTGCAGTAAAGTAGAACCATTAGATAATGCTGCCTGTCCATCTGCCTAAATTTGGATAGCAGTATTTTACTCCTGTATTTCCATTTGATGGTGTAGCAGGACTGAGGAGCAGAGAGATTTTTGAGATATGTGAGTTGAAGTCAATAGCAGATGACTGCAGAATAAAGAAGCCAGGTAGAATCATCAGCAAAAGGTAGTACTGTATGTCATATCTTCTGAATTCCAGTGTATGCCTAATTATTTCTGTTCACAAAGGGAAGATGTTGCAGCTATTCAGTTCACAATATCATCTCTTGTCTGTAACTTGGTAGGACTTCAAAAAGGCAAGTAATGAGTATCTAGACAAAGAGACTTGAGTGACAAAGAAACAGTGGCAGCTTGTTTGAAATTACTGTCAGATCTCAATTATTTGCACAGGCTTTTGAGAGTGAATGATCTATTTAGGTGTGTTAGTACAACTTGTTTTGTATTTTTTTAAAGAAAATCAGCATGACTCATTCTGTCTAGAAAAGCCAAACATGTACTTATGAGAGTACATGGCCCTCCATCCCCTCTTTCTTCCCTTCTCTTTATTGTTTTAATTTTAATAATACCTAAGACATCCCGAATAAGATATATTTACATTTTCAGAAGTGCCTAAGTTATACTGGTATGTCATTTCATCCTTCTGTATACTACCTAGGGAAGGACTGTTATTTCATTGTTAACTGTGCATGCTCACAGAGATGAATTTACATCCCATTCAATTCATAGCAGACAAGTTACAAAATCTAACATTTACATCTAACATTCCCAGTTGACACTAATCAAAAGAGGTGACAAACATTTTTGAAAGCAGATGCCATTTCATTCCTATTATATATATATATTATTAATTTCCAATACTTGTGATTCATTCTGAACCTGGGAATAAAAACAAGAGGAAAATCCAGGTATTTTTCAAGTAACAAAATCCTTGAAACATGTAACATGTTTCACTCATGTATCACTCAAGATGATAAAAAACACTACTGCTTTATAAATTTCTTTAGGGCCTTGAGGCATTCAGAATTCAAGCATGTGAGGAACCATAGTAGAAAACACTAAGATCGAACTGCTAAAAGTATCATATTAACTGCTGCATCAGTTAATTACATTAGAAGGTCACTAGGGGAGGGAGCACTGCAAACTACCAACTATTCCCACATGCAGATCTTCTAAAATGACAGCCCCATTACCTATTTCTGAATGTGAAGTGATGTAAGTGTATAGTAAGGTCCAAATAAAAAAATTTAATAGCAATGTATCATAAATGATATACAACAGATTGAGCAAAGACAGGATGGCATCATTTATGGCATTTCTTTGTTACCTCAAAATGCAGGTAAAATTACACATAGCTCAATAACCTTGTTAAATAAAAAAATATGTTATGCATAAATAAAGAATATAGAAATAAAATAAATAAAAATGTAACTGGGTACAGTAGTTAATTTTGTAAGAGCAAATAGCCAGAAAATATATATAAGTTTATAGACACAGAGCCCTTCTAGTGTATTACCAGTCCTTACGTCATCATGGCTTTAATATTTGAGTCACTAAGAAATTCCGCTGCACTTTCTCCTCTGTGTATTTGCTTGGTATGCAGACTGATGCAAACTCTTCTAATACCAGTGCCAAGAGACCCAAATCCCTTACACAGGCAACCAGATAAGAAACCTATCATTGGAGACCTTTGACACAGCAATTTAATTTCTTTTCACTGCAGCCGTCCATTCAGGCTGCTGTTCCAACATGGCACAGAAGACAGGACAGGGACTGGCTTTTTTCACAGGGGCCTCTGTGACTAATGAACCTCTCCAGTTCCAAGTTGTAGCAGCAATGAAGAACACTTCTACCAAAGTGTCAGCAAAGAGGGCAAAAT